TTGCACACCATAGTCATAAATAATCAAAGTATACAGGATAAATCACAATTTATTGCTTTAGAACTTTTATTTAGCACCTAGTGGGCATAGAAGTTTATCCCTAGTCTTACCTAAGAATTTAGCTTCTTGAGCTCATACTAATTACAAAGTGTAACTAAGATAAAAGAAATACAATAACATTAAAAAAATATTACCTATAACCAATCGTAGAGGAGAGAAATTGCTTCTTTTCCGACACTTCAAGAGAATGCAAAGAAAAAATGTAAAAACTAAAATTTAAACTCCAAAGATAGATTAATGATCTTGTTTGATGAATTGAAAGCTTTATAGGCTAAAGAATGACATCTTTTAGTCTATTCGCGCCCAACAATTAAGCATGGAAGAAATATTTGATCAGATAATAAGGAAGGTGAGGTTTTTTCATCAAGAAAGTTGCTTCATGTCGCTGTGTTTTGTGCAGATTTCGACCTAACCGAAGCTGGTTTCAGGCCTGATTGGCGCCGTTTCTTCTTCGGTGCTGAGAATATAAGTAAAAACAACATAACCGACGCCGGTTATAGGGATGGACTGACGCCGGTTTTAGTACGGCGTGCTGAAATTAATAGAAATAAATCCAACTGGCGCTGGTTAGGTCATTGGACCGGCGCCGGTTCTTCCCTTGTGTGCAATTTTGACTTTTTATTAGATCCAAACACCCCCTAAGTTGTAGACTATATCAGATCCAGAAAAGACCATATTAGAAAAATTCCAAACACCCCCTAAGTCCACAAAAGACCATATTAGAAATTCCATTTCAAGTAAAAACACCCTTAATTCCATTATCATCACATAGAATTTACTATTACTAGGGTGAGCAAAAATATTGGACTGACATGGTACTGAACCGGACCAGTATGGTGCTGAACTGAAAAACGGAATTTGAAACGAATCTCAATTTTTTTTTGTTTCGAACTACACCATACATACCAGTTCCAAACCATGTCATGACCAGTTCTTATAAAATGAGAACCGATACCAGATCAAATTGTACATGTTACATCATTGTACAGATTTATGTTTTGTGATTAATGTTTTGTATATCTCAAATTACATCTCAAATTAAAAAACATAAACGTACATCTTAAATTAATGTTTTGGGATTTATATTTTGTACTACTATAGTTTATTAGAAGTTTATTAAATATTTAATATGAAAAATGATAAATTATTTAGATTTTTGAAGGATGACTGATTATAAACTTTAATTTCCCGAAAAAGTGACATTGTTTGGTATTGGGTGGTATAACATGGTACCGTCCCATTTGAAAACGGAACCATACCGAACGGGTTTAGGTCTAAGATCAAAATGAACCAGACCGTTTCAATAGTTGCGGTACAGGTACGGGTGCAACAAAATATTGAACCGTCCTAGACCGTGCCCACCCGTAACTGTTATACCTTATCGTTTATTTTACTTTTTACTTGCAAATTTCAAGAAAACAAAATTTAATTTTCTTACGGTTACTATTGTATATACAAAGCTACAACATATAAACTCAATTTTATTTATTTGACATGAATACACATCGCGTATCATTATAATAAAATGTTATTCTATTCTAGGTACACCCCGTGCATCGCACGGGTACTTCACCTAGTAAGTATTAGTTTTCATAAACTTCCATTATACGTAAAATTTTGGGGTAATTTGAGTTTGCACCTCAAATTATTATCTAAATTGGACTTTGCACTTGTCATTAAATTTTTCTGTTCTTGCACCCTAACCCCAAATGAAAAGACAAAAATGTCCCTCCATTAACAATTTTGTTGACCTTCAACATATTCCTGATTGAGAGCATTTTTGTCTTTTCATATGAGGTTGGGGTGCAAAAACAGAACAATTTAAAAACGGGATGCAAAGTCTAATTTAGATAATATTATGGGGTGCAAATTCAAATTACCCCTAAAATTTTCATAAACATGAGTACAATACTTCGTATATTAATGTAATAATGCGAGTACATTTTGATCTTGGAAGCAATGATTTGGTAGAATGCAAACTTTTATTTATTTCGGTCTATACTCTATATGATTCGTCTGTTATACGGACTTGCGGAGTATGTTAAATATTATACCGAAGTAGTACGTATGTAACAAATATTGGAACGGCGTGATTAAAAAACTGGGTAGGTGAAGAAGGAAACAGGATAGTGATGTATTATGAGGCTGGGGTTCGCCTGGCTTCCCCACCGACAGTAGCCATGGGTTTGTTTTTGGGAAGTTTTTTATGCAATTCACTTCACCCCCGTCCCCCACCCCCAACGCACATGTAGTGTTAGCATTTTGAAATGGGTTGGGTCAGTTTTTGCAAAACTAGAGACACTCCCTAGAGGCCTAGAGCCTTAGGGCCAGGGGATGCCGGCATGTGGAATAAGTTGGGGACACACCCACAAGACTACTCCCTCCTTTTGAAAACCCCATTTCAAATCCATCTCTATTGTACCAAAATAGGTGGAATTTCCCACGCCAAGAGCTCCCGCATCTGACCCGACAGAATGGTGGAGGAGTAAGTCACGATGACTCAGTCGCTCACTCGCCCCGATGGTGATAGACCTTATACCCACGCGCACCAGAGATCCATCCCAGCACGCAGGATTTGTAACTTCCACACGGCCGTTGCGGGTTTTGAACATTGGTCATTGTTCCAAATTTCTCACCACTCAACCAACTGAGCTATATGTGCGGGTATTTCAAACTCGTTTCTTTACTTCATGTTGCATCGTCCTTTATAACATTATCAAAGTTGACTGCAACGTAAATAAAAATTAAAAATTGTATGGTTCACGTTTGGGTTGAAGCAAGAGAATTACAATTTTTTTATTTTTAATGAAAAGTAGTAAAGTTAATGGTGGGATAACAAAAAATTGAAAGTTGACAAATTTATAATGAATGAATATTTGTACTTCTATGTCCAATCAAAGGCGATCAACTTTTCCTATTCAAACGTTCTAAAATACTTAATACGGAGTAGTATTTTTACTTTGAGTATAAAGACTTAAAGATATTTATTTCATATTTTATCTAAATTTATATTCAATTTGAATTGTCACGGTACATAATCAAGTGAAAAGTTTCAAGTCATAAAATGTTACAAATTTATACGGAGCATAAAATTAACTTGAAAAATAGTGTCATTTAATCGTAAAAACATTAACTACATATAAATTGGAATACTCATCATGGTGGATTTTCTTAGAAGCTCAACTTGCCGGGATGTCTATGACCATTATATGTTCCAAAAGACCAAAACACACTTGATTGGATGATTCTCTGATCTCCATATAAATAATGAACTTCCTCCGATCCACTTAGAACCAAATTACATTGTTAATGAATTATGAACTTACTTTTTGTTACAAAACTTGTGCAATTTCTTTGAATCGATTTCTCATACTATGCTTCTTCCTCTCTCTATACTTCAACTACAAAAGACTATAGAATGGACAGCTTGGTCTACATTCTTATCTTCGCTGAGATCTTGATTTAGGATCTTATAGTGGCTCGTGCATGGCATGTAATCCACAGTAACAATACATTGACTGATGTTCTAAGAAATGTGATTGATGGTCTTGGACTTCTAGAGCTCAATCTCCTTTTAGTTGTTAGTCTTGGGTGTGTATTTCAAGCTCTGGCTTGTTAATATAATTGAGGAGATGTCCTCAATTATCAAAGGTAGGGAAAGTCTGAACAAAACATCAATAGACAGGTTGCAACGGATAGGTAAGGACAAAACTGAATTATTAGAAGGCAACGGTAGCATAATAAGTGATTTACGAGATAAGGTTAAACATAGGGTGCAAGCCTTAACATAATAAGTGGACAGAAGGCTTTGGTAGGACCAATAGTTAGATGACTTTTCTCACCAATATTATGTACGAAAAGAAAAAGTGAAACTATTTGTGGGAAGATTGGGTATAAGGGTACTTTTTTAGAAAATGAATTCATTTATTTGTAATAGTGTGGAGTTGTCACATTGTTATAACATGAATACAAGTGTTCATCATATTCCATCCTATATATCCTAGCACTTTTATATAAACATACAAAGTCATCATTTATCATTTGTGTATCAAGAAGCTTAAGAGTTTTTAAGAGTACTCAATCACTGAATCATGTATTCATGCCAAATATAAGCAGATTGCTACGTCTAACTCCATTGTTCTAAGGCTTTATGAGGTAGAACATATAAATTTATCTATGTGGCAAATATCCATAGATCTATGTCGAGTTCAAACTTCTTACAAAATTAGTGATTAATGGATATATATTACGGAGTATCATAGACCGGAGATGCCCGAGTTTATGTAATGTATTGGACGTAGCACGTTAGTTTATGTGTTTCGGCACATTGCATTTCATAAGCCCTGTGTGGGTTTTCTATTTATTCTTGTAGCTTTGTATTGTAAAGCATGATTCATTCTATTCACAATACGCATTGCACAACATTTATCTCTATAGCTTATATCTATCTAATCTAGATTTAGGGTTCATATTAACCCTTTAGTGATACTCTATATGCAACCCCCAACGTTAAACACCCCAATAGATAAATAACTCTAACCCTACATTTTGTTATAATTACTTTATGAAGTTGTGACTGAAGTGGCTATATTAGCTGATTCTGCTGATTTACGAAAAAATTAAAATTAAAATATATATTAATAAAATAAATAAAAAAAATTATATGAAAATAGATAAAAATGACCATCTACATTAATTTCAATAGATACAGTCAGAAAAATAACTCTAACCCTACATTTTGTTATAATTACGAAATTCAGCAAGCGAAATCAAAGTACATGGTTGATTAAAAAATTGACTCATAAATCCCACAAGTCAAAAAACATAATCCCCAAATAGACTATTGATATAGTCAAAAAATAATTAATTGAGAAAGAGGTGAAGGGCATGGTGTTTGAACTTCGAAGGGCGAAAATTATCTTACTCCGTAAATAAAATCCCGCCAATGGAGCAGGGTAAAGTTTTTTTTACTGTATAAATAAGATGCTAGGCTCCTTATCTGGACGAATTGAATTCGGGGTAAGAACATTATTGGGGTAGCTAGTCCTTGTTCTGATGTTGAAACCTCTCTCAGTCTCTCCGTGCTGTGTTCTTTTCATTTGGTGACTGTTGGAATAGTTAATCTACGGTACCACTACTGCATTGTTTGAAACGAGGGGTCAGGGGTGAAAGTCACAAGTCAAGGAAAGCTTTTTAGCCTCCTCCATGAACCACAACACTTGAATTGACTGCTTTTTCTCTCAAGAACAAGACCCCCACCCCCACCCCCACCCCCTCCTCCCTGCTCTGCTTCTTCTTCTTGAAGATGCCGAGACCCGGCCCGAGACCCTATGAGTGTGTGAGAAGAGCTTGGCACAGTGATAGGCACAACCCCATGAGAGGCTCTCTAATCCAAGAAATTTTCAGGTACCCATTTTACCCCTTCTCCCCTCCCCTACCAAGACTCCACCTTTAATGGTTCTTGGTAAAAAATAATAGGATTGCCAATGAGAGTCATCGCCCTGAAACCAAGAAGAACAAGGAGTGGCAAGAGAAGCTCCCTATTGTTGTCTTGAAAGCTGAGGAGATTATGTACTTCAAAGCCAACTCTGAGGTTTTTGTTTCTGTTTTCCTCTAATGTTGTTGAATTTGTTACTTTTACTGTTTTACCTAGGTTAATTTCTTTTGGTCAGGCTGAGTATGTAGATCTCAAAACTCTTTGGGAGCGTGTTAATGATGCCATTGACACTATAATAAGAAGAGATGAGAGCACTGAAACTGGGGAGCTTTTACAGCCTTGTATTGAAGGTATATTATTTACCCATTTGTTTTCTTGATCATCACCCTTGGAAAAATTGATTCTTGATTCATAATTCCTACTTTACCATTTTGGAATGTGTTCTTTCTGCCATGAAAAAAATCCAGTATAGGCCCTAAGCTCATCTTTGGCTCCTAGGGTTTTCACCTTCTGTTGTCTGTTGGTAATCTGAGTTCATACCCATCATTCTAAGGCTTGAATTTCTTGAATTTGAACGCAGCGGTGATTTTGTTGTAAATTTTCCCTTTTCTATAGGACTTATGGATTTGTTTCTGATTGATATTATGAGGTTATTATGAGTATTGATATCTCATTTGGCAAGTTTATTTTGCTGAAATGGTGCTTAGTATTCTAAAAGGAAAACCATTTTGAAACATCCATTTAAGGTAAGTAAGTGCTCGTTTGGTATCTCTAAAATTAGCTGAATTTGCTGAATCTATTACATTTGTTAAAATTTATTTAATGTGCCTGAATTGGCTGAATTTGATGAATTATGGAAAAAGTTATATTTAAAAAGTATTTTATTACTAGAACAAACTATAAAGATTATATGAACAAATGGTATGTTCTGCAAATTGTTACGTAGAAAATACCCCGAGTGTTCCTTCGTGAGACAATGGAAAAAGTTAGCTTTTGATTAAAAAAAAATGAGTGATAAGTAAAAATGGGCTATTCCAATGCTAAACAAGTCAAAAGTTACTTATTCTGCCTATTTATGTTTTTTGCAGAATGAGCTACTTTTAGGCCTTTGGCTGCCAAAAGGAGCTTGAATTTGGTTTCCTTATAACTTTTTCCACTTGATTTTTTTTCTTCTATTTCTTTTTGTGAGTAGCTGCTTTGCATTTGGGCTGCAAACCAAGAAGAGCAACAAGGAGCCAACGAAACAATTCTGGCATGTGTTACCTCAGTTCTCGGGACTCGGATGCTCCCTCCAGTTCTCCAATTACCTTACGTGACCAAATTCATGGAAACTCCAATCCATGTCGTCCATTTGTGCCCCCAAACTTTAGTTTTATCTCCCCAAACACTTCATCTTTCCATGCCTTTGAAACTGACAGTAGCATGAGATTTCCTTTCTTACCTGAAAATTATGTTAACCGAAGATTGCCATCATCCCCAGATTCCCATTCTGTTTATCCCTTGTATTTCGGCTCTGAGTTTCAATCCAATCGCCCCAAATATGATAGAGAATGCGTTTGGAATAACATTTCCGTGCAGAACATGGATGCTTGTAACTCTCCAAGTAATAATAATTCCATTGCATGTTGTTCAAACGTTCCCTTCAACCAACCTGGACCCGAATGTGACTTATCCTTGCGGTTAGGCCCTGCGGCCCCACCTCCACGTTCGGATCGTCTGGCAAGCTCTCAATCTCGAGATAAAGGTGTAGAAGAGGTTTTGAAATGGCAGAAGGTTGGAATTAGCCATTTATATGAGGAGAGACCATTTTATCCCCCCATGAACCTACAACTTAACTCCTTTGTTGGGAATATGAGTAATGCAGGGCCTTAAGTTTACTTCTTAGCCTTTCAGGCTTTGTGGCCTTGTCATTTTGATTTTTACTTAATGAGTTGTAACCTTACATGCTGCAAAGCAAGAATTGAATGTGTATATATATGGGATGAATTATGATCTCATTAATCTATGAAGTTTAGGTTTTGTTGATGATGCTGGTTTTTACTTTAAACGTGTACTTCCCCTCCTGAAAATATGTTTAACCAATGTGTTGTGTCCATTTTCAGTTTTGTAAAGCTACAATGATCAAAAGTTACAAAATCATACCTAGTATTTCTTTTGTCCTTAAATATTTTTCACTTGATCTCTACAAATTTCAGGCAAATAATCAACTACACCATTTTCATTTCTTTACACTCTTAAGGTGAATACTTATTCAGGAAGAGGGGATATTTATATTTTCAAAATGGTATAATTAAATGCATCACAGATGATATTTTTGTACCAGATTGGTATACTCTTGTACAACTTTGTTGTCTATGAATCATTGTATTGGTTTTTGATCATTATTCACATGAATGAATGCGTTTTGTGGGGCTCCATTATGAATGTGCACACAAGTCATGTCATGCCCAGAAGGGTAGAATCTTTTTGTAACACAAAATACACAGCATATCATAGAAAAGTTAACTTCACATGATGGCATTCAGTGAAAGACTAGATTGAAAAACATGTGTCTAGTTATGTTATGCAACTACTAAAACGTCTAAAAGGGGTTTGGATTTGAGAAATTCAGGGAAGAAAACAAGTCTTCTATAAGAAATTACTTAAAATAGGAGTATAGCATAAACATTGTTTCAAAATAGGGTTTAATATGTTTTCTTTTCTATATATTTAGTCTTATTAAAAGAGAAAGAAGATAAATTTCCCTAAATAAGAGTGTATGAGTCTCTTTTTGAAAAAAGCAGTGATATTCTTAGTTGAGAAAATTGCTATGTGCTAGGAAAATTTCTCTTTTCTTCAATATCACTAAATTAAATATTAGTTTAAAATAATACTCTTCTAGAAATTTAGAGTAGTTATAATTATGAATTCTCCTAAGTACTGAAATGGAAGTGATTGAGTAAAATTTTGTTAGATGTTGCATTTTCTTTAAATTCATGATTTGAATAGATCCCATGCATTTTGCTCGAGTGGCCAAAACACAGTGCATTCAAAGAAATAATAATAAATCGACACGGGTAGCTCAGTTGGTTGAGTGATGAAAAAGTTACAACATTGATCAAGTATCGAAATCCGCAGCGACCGTGTGAAGATTACAACTCATGTGTGCTAGGTTAGACATCTAGTGCGCACGAATACAAAGTCTACCAAATGTCTTGTCGAATCGAGACATGGGAGGCTTTGGGATTGATAAACATTCAAAAGAAATAAAGATAATGACCATGTTCTACTTAACATGAGTGAATCTTGTCTTTGTCTCTTCTTCTTATTAATGAATCATAACTATGTAAATGACCCGAACATTACATTTTAGGTCAGCTCAGCAGCAAAGTTTTAACCACATATTTCAAGCTATTGATTATATAGATTGAGACGTTCACTGATCAGCCATGTGACAGGCCTAGCAATTAGCAATCTCATTGTTGCTACTCAGGTAAAAAAAACTCTACTTTTGTGAAATATTAAGATACATCATTGAAAACATCTAATGTCATTGATGAGTTATGCAGGTGAGCAAATTACATAAACACGAGTGTATTATACAAAACTAGCGGATTGACATGACTCATTGATATAAATATTTTACATGTTTCTCAACTCGATTTTCTTTACATGAACACGTTTTTCGTATTATAATTTGATATGCAAAAAGTATACACTATTGAGTGTATTATACAAATATAAGTTTTAACTATTTTTCTTCTAAAAGAGACATAATAGAGTAGAAGCCATACGAGAAATTTTATAGAACCCTATATGGCTTCACTATAGATTCATATAGCACATTAGACATTTCCACAATCATTCATTTATAAAGTAGAGTCCTTCACTATAAAGTCGCTATAGAAATGAATATTTGTTATGATGTCACATGGATTACATGACTCAACGGTGGAGTTATATAGGGCTTTATAAATTTTTATTGTATCGATTCACGTTAGTTGATCCCAATATCGTTTGGGACTAAGGTTTGGATGTTATTGTTGTTGTTGTCTATTTTTGTTGTAGAGTATGTGCCGGTGGCTGTAGCTCAAATGGTAGAAAGAGGGTGTCACAACGGGTAAGTCTCGGTTTCAAATCTTGGCAACTACGATAAGATGTTATTATGTACAAAATTCATAGCGTCTCTTAAAATATTTTGATCATAATCTCACTCACTATCTGTCAGTGTGTTATTAAAAATCTAATTTACGCCCTCTCGGTTAACTGCATGACCGGTGTTGGGGAACTCAAGGGATGAGTATCATCTTTTGTTGTTGTTGTGGAGTACGAAAGAAAATCATGTCATTATTAAGGGACTAAAGGGTCAAATAGGTTCCTGAACTGACTTAAAGTGTTTAATTAGCCCCTTATATAGGAGGTTCTGCCCGGCCGTCGCCAATTGGGGTAGTTCCCGGTGGAATTTTTTGATGAAATTTTTTGAACATCTTCTTCATTAAGTCTAGTTTACTCATACCAAATTTCAGCTAAAAATTCAACCGGGAAGGCAGTCTAATGATTTTTTGAAGATAACTGCGAAGTTAAACAGCGCAGTACATTTCGGAAAATAATTTGATTGTCTTCCCGATTGAATTTTTAGCTGAAATTTGGTATGAGTTAACTAGATTTAATGAAGAAGATATTCAAAAAATTTCATCAAAAAATTCCACCGGGAACCGCCCCAATTGGCGACGGCCGGGCAGAACCTCTTATATAAGGGGCTAGTTGAACACTTTAAGTCAGTTCAAGGGTCTATTTGACCTTTTAGCCTTATTAAGGTATCTGCTAAAAAAGGTGATAAAACTTGAAGGACAAATAGTAGTAGTAATAATAAATGTCAAAGTGGAGTAAAACACTGTTAAGAGATAAACACTCGGTGGGTAATATTGGAGTTAAGAATGTGGTTGAGGAGTCACAGGCACACGGTCTGGCCATTGGTAAAGAGAGGGAGCAGGGAAAAGTGTCTTTCACAACAAAAAACAGGGGCAGTGGGGCCCACGAGGTACCAATTTTGGGCACAAAAGTTGAGTGCGGCCTGAAACGATGTGATGCATTTGGGCATGTACGTATCTAGGGGCAGTCACTAACCTCCCCTTCCTCATCTCATTGTGTGGTGACGTCAATCCCATTGCCCTTCTCTCTTCTCACTCGAATCTTTCTACTTTAGGAAGTTTTGTAGATCGTTTGCCCTTTTGGATTGATCTGCTTTCCTGGCCATGGACACTCACATTTCTTTCTTTCATGGTAATGCTAATTGTTTTCTGTTCTTTTTATTATCATCAACTAGCCTTCTCCATCACTACTAATTATCAGTACTAAATTACTAATTAATTTTCTAATATTATACAGAGTATATTAATTTTCTAACACTTTTTTTATCATGGTAACACTAATTATCACTACTAATTAATTTTCAAATATTATACAGAGTATATATGTTAAATTATACTACCTCCAACCACGTTCTCATCGCAAAACAACATGGTCATTAAAAAAATAATTATATAAGACAATTCAATTATATTTTGAGAAATAGTTTTAATACATACTCCCTCCGTCCTTTAAACTTTGTTGTTTTTCTTTTTTGGGATGTCTAAAAAACTATGTTACTTTCACTTTTAATCAACTAATTTGTGGTTCCTATTATTTCTCTCTCATCTGCACAAACTCAACTACACAGTTTCTACTTTATTATTCTCCCTGCCTGTCAAACATGACAAAGTTTTAAGGGACATAGTGAGTACTTCTTTCGTCCTTACAACTTTGCCAACTTTTCTTTTTTGATTGCCCCACTATTTCATTAACTTTGTCACTTCTTCTTTTAAGTAAATAATTTGTGGTTACAGATAATTATATCTCCTCTACACAAATCTTAATCATATACGGAGTAGTTTCTACTTTATTAATCTTCGTATCGGTCAAACTTTAAGTGATCGAGTGAATATATAATATAATGAGGTTAATGGTGATAATTGTGATGTTATAGATTTATTATTTTTAATATTTGATTAATAAATTGTTATTTAAGAGTGTTAATTGTTTTCTAAAATAGAATCTGAACATATGAGACGTCCAAAAAACAAATCTGTGACACCGCACCCGGATGTACTTGAAATTAAAATTCATTATGTATTTGAATTTTCTAGTCTAGTTAATACTTGTGTTTAAAGGATGATAGATTTACATAATGAATTATTAATTAAATTATTTATCGGGCCCATAATATTGAGAATGTGTTACAAAATATATAATTTGGTCATAATAATAATTAAAGAAGCCCAATAAAATGAAAACTAAAGTTAAGGAAAATGATTGGGATTTTTTCAGAAGTAGGCTGAAAAACAAAAATAATACTCGGTATCACTTTTATCTCTTTTGACTTTTGTTTTCAAAAATAGACAACACAAAGTTTTCTTTTCAAAATTAGCCTCGCGCTTTGCTGCTTGCCCCGTAGACCGTATCCATATATTTTAACTTACTAATCCAGTAATCCTACATACTACGGAGTATCACTTTGGCTGAACCACTAACCAAGGCAAAGTGTTCAAACCTAAATAATCTATATAATATAATAAAGCAAACTCCTAAAGAACCATTTAGAGTAATTTTTGACATGTGGCAACATCCTTTGTATGAAAAAGTGACACGTGGCAAAACAATAAATTAAAGAAAAAACTATTCAACTTCCAAAACTCTACTCTTAAATATTCCAATATTATAGATATGTATTTATATTAATATATGTGTATATATTTGTTATAATTTTCAATATAAAATTAGGTAAAATTTTGAACTCGCCGGTATTACAAAATTCAAATACTCAAAAATAAAAAATAATTAATTAACAATTTTAGCCACTCTTAAAATAAAAATATTACTTCTATTTCTTTTCTCATAAACTCTTGCAGGTTCTCCCTTATTCGGAATTTTTATAAATTGGTTCTTATTTGTTTCCAAAATATGATAATTATTACATCCTCCGTCTCATTCATTTTCTCCAATATTTTCTTTTTCTTTCATTCACTAAGTTTGTGTAGCTCCAAATATTATAATGCATATATAGTTCTAAATCATTCTTACATTATTGTTCCTACTTTTCATTTCAACACTAGCTAGATAAACTCTTTTTTAATAGTTGCACATGTCTCGATCTTAATGAGACAAATGTGATACTCCGTATTACTTATCTATTTATTAATTTACAAGGTCTACTAAATCAAAGTCTAAAGGTAGACTCATTTTTTGTCACATATTTATTTATACTTCACAATTTATGTTCATGTTGTTAAATGGGTTAGCACTCCCCAATTTCATCGCTTGGATTGTCTAACTGCCTAATGGTCTTAAACGACGCACATTATTTTTAATGGGGTGTACAATACACTTATAGTTAAAATAATGCAGACTTTAAACGGACAAGAAAGGTTGAATTTTTACAAAAATGTCACAACATTTTATATTTATAATAGCACATATTTCTATTTCAAATAATGCACATTTTTTAAATCTAACATTCGAGCTCATTCAAATTACTTTTTTACACGTTAAGGTGTCTTCTCATTTGAACTCAACCTTATATATATAATTTACAATTTTCAAATCTAATGTTTCGCTACATATATAGAAATAATGCTGAAAACAAAAAAAAAATATAGAAATAATGCTAGAGTAATTTGTTTGAATAATTAGTATATATAGAAATAATAGCTCAACAAGGGTTGTAAATTAATAAGTATATTTGAAAATTATTTTGGTGCTAAAACATCAATATTGAAGATAATGAAAATAAAAAATAGATGTTTATATTTTGGTTTACTCGCAACCTGTATGGGTCAACTCACTTAACCTGCAACCCGTGCAAGTTGCATCACGAAACTGGTGACTTCATCGGATTGAAGAATGACAACTCTAACCCACCGTGGAATGAGATGAAATGGGCTAACCCTATGGGCTTCGACTCATTTTGACAGCTCTATCCATAGTCGATTAAATTTTTCTCTTAAATACTAATTGACGAATTCATATACAATTTATTTTCCCTACAATTTAATAAGAACTTTAAGCACATATTTTCCCGTGCAGTGCACGAGTATACATACTTGTTTGTAAAATATGGAATATTTGTGATCATTGGAAAAAATATAAATTCGTAAATTTTAAAATATGAAAATAACTACTTCGTATAAATAAATATGTTTACAATAAAACAAAACATAATAATATGTAACTTAAAAAAACTATGAAAGCTGTAGTCTATAGTACGTAGTAACTTTTTTTTATTTCTTACGATACTAAAACATCAAAACAAACTGATTTTATTTTATTGAAAATAAAAATTAGAAAAAATGTAAAAAATTACAAAAATGTTGAAACAATGAAAAGTCAGAAATAATAAAATAAAATAAACATTACGTATAAGGAAATTTAAAAACTGAAAAGGAAGAAAAAGAAAAAAAAAATAAGAAAATAAAAAAAATGTACAAAAAAAAGAGTTATAAGAAAAATAAAGTATACAAAAAAATATCAAAATGTGTAAGAAAGAGTACGAATTATATAAACCAAAAAAAAAGAAGAAGAATAAAACAAAACAAAAAAAACATAAAATAAAATAAAAAATAGAAAATAAAAAATGTAAAAAGTATTAAGAATTTCAGAAAAGGTAATAATTCCAAAAAATCAGAGAGAAAAGCACAAAATTCGAATACCAAAAAGAAAATTTTAAAATAGTAAAAAAAAAACGTAAAACATTTGAAAATATCACACAGTATGATTTTTATTACTTTTCTAACAAGCTACAAATTAATTCTTATTAGCATTCTATTGTTATTTTTTGTTGCGTTTTGTTGCTTTGTGTTTCTTCATGTTTATTTGTGTTGCAGATTTTTCATATTTGTTTTTTTATCGTTTCATCAAGTTTTATTGTTAATATTCATAGATCAAAATTCATCAATTTAAGTGATTATATATCAATACATGATTTTTTTAATTTCAAAGAAGTAGCAAAGATAAGTAGGAACCTAAATAAACAACTAAAATCAAATTCAAGTATAAACATTAACCATATGCAATACAATGCAACAACAGGAAACACAATGCAACAACAAAAAACAAAACGCAACAAAAAGAAACAAATATAATGCAACAAAAAGCAACACATATAATCTATCACAATAAATTTATAATTCAATTTAATTACATTTATCGAGTATGTTATTTGACTTTGCTTCCTTTGCTTCTTATCATATATTTTTTATACATCTTAATTAATACATAGTTCCTCAGATTCGGCTTTCTTATCTTCTTTTTCTCATTGATCCTCCACCGTTATGTGCTTCTTTTCCTTTTATGCTTCTGCAATAAAAATTGAATTACTATAAATTATGACAATAAAATAACTAGCGTACTACCTGTCTATAACAATTCACTACGACACTTGGAAGCATACAATTATTATAATTATAAGAGACCTAACGGCTTGGGAGGTGAAGACAAAGATGAAGATATATTCGTCGGAGAAGAAATGGAGTTACAACCACTTAATGCTAACAGTTACCCTCACCTTCGCGAAGTTGCCATTGCAGCCAAGCACGGTCAACTAGACTCCCTTCGCCATGCTCTAGCCAACTTAAGTAACATTAATGAACCAGTAGAAGATGGAGACACAACTCTTCATCTTTTCTGTTTGTATAGCCAACTTCCATGTGTTCAACTGTTGCTACAAAAGGAAGCATATTTGGATGTCAAGGATGCAGAGGGTGCCATTTCCTTTCATGATGCATGTGCAGGAGGATTCACTCAAATTGTACAGCTTCTTATCAATAGTACTAGTGATCCTGCAAATATGCTTTTCACTTTATGGGGCTGTTCATGATCTCCATCCCTAACTGGGATGTTTCTCACCGTCAAATATGTTTTTCTTGGTGGTTGGAGGCTGGTTCAAAGTCAGTTATTGATATTTATAAACATGTCCTCCCAGGCATTATAATGTGGCACATATGGAAAACTTACGCAGCATACACTTGGGATAGAGCATCTGTGAGTTTTAACCAAGGGGTTCTAATGAATTCCATTAAGAATTACACTTATCATTGGGCAACAGGAGTGAAAATTCCCAAGTTTGGGAATATTCCATATTTTCTTATTCAAGAAGGAATACTCCCAGAAGATAAAAAAAAATCATAGACGTAATTTTCTCAAGGTGAACTGGAAGAAGCCAAAGGATACCTTCAAAGCTAACATTGATGCATCCTTTAAACCGAACTCCTCCACCGGTGGTGTTATTCTTAGAGATCTTGCTGGTCAGATGGTCTTTGCAGGTTCCTTCCCTCTCAAAGCTAAATCAATCCTTGAAGCTGAACTATTGGCTATATATGTGGCGGTTCATTGGCTACTTAACCCGGGTTTCTCACATGTTGAAGTTGAATCAGATTCTCTAGCAGCGATTTCACTCCTCCGAAATGGTCTCACCCTAGCTCCTTTTGAATTCCTCTCTCATCCCATCCGACGTCTCGCCATTGAGCATCACTTCTCTTTCACCCACTGTTATCGTCAAGCGAATGAAGTCGCCCATCTTCTGGCCCAAATACCTATTCGTTCCCAGTTCATCGCTTCTCAGACATCCCAGCTCCCGGTTCGCATCAGGAGTGCTTTGCATCTGGATCTTGTTGGTTGCTCATGGTGCTCACTTTTTATAAAAATGCTAATTCCTCTTTGAGTAGTAGTAGCCTTAACCACCCTCCACATTTATCCGGATGTGGAAAACCGACACCACAGATTTTTCCCGTGGTGCTCACCTTTTATGAAAATCTTAATTCTTCTTTGTTTCCTCAAAATCAATCAAAGTTCATATATACTTCTTTCAAAATACACTAGAATCTCCATTCATCAAACTCCAATAATGATATCAAAATACTTACTATTACAAAGTCTCCAAAAAAAATCTTACACAATAACTCATATCAAAATTCAATGATAACCAACCAATATATCAAGTATAAACCACTTCATAGAATAAAATTTCACAAAATGCACATAAAACATTCAAAATGATTATGAAGCAAAAAGGTGTAATTTTGGGTACAATGGAACTTACCTGAAATCCAAATACTCCTAGTCAATTCTTCTACTTTGCTCCTCAACCAAGTCACCTTCTATCGAAATTCAAAAATCAATATCCTATCAACTTAGTAAAATTTCTTCTTCCCTTTATTTATAATCTACCCTTCTTATGATTCGATTAATCTCAATAGTAGTCCAAATGATTCACTTAATCCATTTTATTATAGCCGGGTAAAATTATCCAACTATTATTTGAGTCAAGCGAATTCGTATTTCTTAATTAATTAAAGTGACAAATTAACTAAAAGTAAGTAGTAACAGTTTAAAAATAGTGAGTTCGTTATAACTCATTATGAGAAATCCAAATATTCCCATTAGTCCATTTTAGTTTAATCATTCTCATTATCCTTTTATTCCAATTAATTATTATTATTAATTATTATTAGATTATTACTAATTATTGTTATAATTAGCCCATAGATATTATACTATACTACGGCACTGCAGAGCAGATCTTACGGAGTTTTTGTTCATTGTCTACGTGAATGGGAACCGGCGTTCAGTTTGTCAGCTTCGCTACCTTCCTTCGAATGGTGCCTCCGGCTCCGGCAGCAGTCTGGTGGCGGTGTGCCGTTTCGGGCGGTGGAGGCAGTCTGCAGGTACCGATTCTAAAGCGGCACTCCAGTCTCATGGCGGCAGCTTGAACACCTCCGTCGACCCTTCTCTTGCGACTTAGAAAGTTTGATTAGGGTTTTAATACGTTGGCCTGCTTTTGTTTTTGGTGTGTAGCGATCATCGGTCCCTGGGATATATATACACGCGTGAAGAAAATTCTAGACTTCCCTTTTCATTGGCTTCGTCCACTGATTCCAGACTCTTGGTTTCGTACCTTGAAAATCTCCCCTCTTAAAAGTGTTTCCTTGTTTGTCTTTTCAGTATTCTTTTTAATTTATTATTGCACGTGTTTAATAGAAGTATTATTATTATTGCACGTACATAGTATATGTATTAACTATTACCCGTACTCCATATTATCGTTATTATTAGGGAAAACTGTCAAATAGGTCCTCGAACTTTCATAAAAAAGTCAATTAAGTCCTTCTATAGGAGACTCTATCCGGTCATCGCGATTTGGGGCAGGTCCCGGTGGAAATTTTTGATGAAATTTTTTGAGAATCTTATTCATCAAGTCTAGTTTACTCATACCAAATTTCAGCTAAAAATTTAATCGGGAGCGCATTCAAATTAATTCGAGAACGCAAAAATGCGCAATTATCTTCAAGAATTAATTTAAATGTGTTCCCGATTGAATTTTTAGCTGAAATTTGGTATAAGTAAACTAGACTTGGTGAATAAGATGCTCAAAAAATTTCATCAAAAAATTCCACCGGGAACTACCCCAAATCGCGACGGCCGGGCAGAACCTCCTATAGAAGGACTTAATTGACCTTTTTATGAAAGTTCGATGACCTATTTGACAGTTTTCCCTTATTATTATTAATCGATTATTAGTGTTTAGTATGACGTATGTAATGGGTTAAACGTACTACGTACATATATATAGTATTTTTTTTTTGTAACACATTAATCATATCTTGTTTATTTTCATTTCATTTAATTATTATTTTTATATTTAAATTTTTGAGGTGTCACACAATCATCACAGAATAAAGTACTGATCTATCAACATCATCGAATAGACGGCACGGAGTTTACATGCCAAGAGAACGACTTCTTCTTACTCAAGATGGACAACATTTATCAAATGTCCATGGTTTACATAAATAAAACAATAAAAAAACAATAAAGTCCTCAAAGAAGGATACGAAGCAATATAAGACGCTTTATGTTGAGGCATGTCAGAGTTCATGCCACCCGTGATCTGCAAATGGCCCTCGAGAACAACATTAGAAAGGCAAATCTCACCAAGCCCTTGCTATACGGACCCGAGCTCGAAAAGTATCCACCGTTCTTAATTTTTGACGAACTGGTCACGATAGTTTATCTCAACCATGAAGGAGAGAAGCGCTTAATGAGAATTGATGAGATTGCCAAATATTGTAATGGTACATTGAAGATCATCAGGGACAAGATCAAGCAAAAGAAAGATGACATTGAACGAAGACTTGCTGACGCCTCTGAAGCTGAAATATAAGAGTTTGACAGACTGAAGGTGGTGCTAGATGCAATCAAAAAGCTACTCGAAAAAAGGAGAATGTTGCGCCAATATGAACATGCTCTAGCACTGCGCACCAACTACTACAAGAGGAAGAAGAATCAATAAGAGCTGACCACGGACATTTGATCACGAAGGAGGAGAATGTTAGAGATATTTTTATAGTTATGATTAATGTACTTAATTGGACCTCTTTTTAGTATTTATTGTGTGTTCAATAGCCTTGTTAAATAGAATAGGCTCACATGCCTATGAGCACCGCAGTATCCTTGCAAAATCCCAAAACTTATATTTTTGTTACAATGGTTGCAAGTTGCCCACCATTCATGCTATTCGTTTCCTTCCCTTTTTTGAAATTATTTTTCATAAGGAGAGATTCGTTTTTCTTACTGGGTTGGGATGAACCAGGCTCATCCTCGTCGAGGGTTTCCTCATCGGGGGGTTTGCTCCTCGTCTTGTTCCTCCTCGGCGGTCGTCGGCTCCTCGTCGTCATAGTCATCGTTAATCTTGAGAATGTCTTGTTGTTGGTAAAAATGCCCATCCCGTTGGGCCAATAGTTGAGATAGTTGCTCGTCGGACATCGCATCTCTTCGGTTGTAAGTCGTCTCAAAACCATTTCGGCTTTGAGAAGAAGACCCGACATGTCCTTTACATTTGCCTCGCGAAGTAGTGATCGGCTAAAACTTGCAAGTGTACAAGTGTCAATGTAGTAATAAAAACCGGTAAAAATACCGAGACGAACACAAGGAAACATTGTTTATAGAGATCCCTTGTTTATATGATTCAGAATAGTTTTTGTAAAAGACTTAGTAAAAGAGTAGAGATTTTTGGTTTTCAAGTGATAATAAAAACAACCAAGGGCTCGGGATTACTCCTAAACGACTCCTAGCGATGAATATATGTTCTTTTACCAATTCTTATGAGTGGAATGTCGCTAAAGTATTCTAACTCATATTACGGCAGCGAGATTGTGATTAATTATACGTGTGAATCCCGTCACGGTTCACATTCATCCAAAATCAACCTCATTGAAGATTAGAACATTATAAAAACCACCATATTCATATGAGGTATATTTCTATCCACAATTAGAATATGTCTAACCCTTAAGTGCACACTTTATAACTCAACATTAATTGTTCAAATAAACCCAACGATATAATAATACGTTGTACACCGTAGTCATACACATTAAAAATATAAAGGAAAGATCATAATAATTTGGTTGAGAACATACATCAAACACTTAGAGTGCGTAAAGTTTCATCCCTAATCTTGGTTATGAAAAATTAGCTAGAACAATTCATAATGGAATTACAAGTATTGAAATGATAAAATACAATGAAATACATATGAAATTAAACCACAACTCCAAAGCTATGATGGACAATGGAATCCCCAAATGAAGAACTTCTCCCAAGACCAAGGGGTTGCTCTTGAGATGCTAAAGTGAAAGTATCTTGTGTAGGATATGGAATTAATTGTTGAGAGGGCTTCAAAACACTTAAATGTTGAGTCTTCAACGGCCATTTTTAGACAAAGAAGCAAGCCCCTTAATGAACTTTGGTGTTTTCCTCGAATGATTATGATGATCGTTGTTGTTTTAATCTCGCACAGACAAAAGCCGGGCGCTATTTGCAAAAGCTGAGCGACTTTTTCACATTTAAATTATTGTTCCTTCGCTCCAGGGGCCGAACGCCGGCCGGTTTCTGCCGAAAGCCGGGCGGCTTCTGTATTTGTTTTTCTGGATCATTCTACGGCGCCAAAAGGCACCCGCCTTTCATGAAAACCGGGCACGAATCGGCCTTTGTTGCTCCGGTCACTTTTCTTCTTCGCTGGAAGGCAATTGGATGGTTGGCCGGTGAAAACCGGTCGGCCTTGGTGAAAGCCGGGCGGCTTTAACCTCTTTTGTGTGTTTTTCTTCGCTTCTTTTGTTCTTCGAGATGCGTTTGGTTGACCTTTTTCTTGTCGGGTTTCTTCGTGTGTATTCTATCATCCTCGTATTTGATCCAATCGTCGAATAAAGTAATTCTAGCAAAACGAGACATATGTGTGAGGATTTTATTCTTTTAAGCATAAAAGCGTTTATAAATGATGGTATAAAACACGTTAATAAAACGCTTTATCAAGTAGGATGGTTTTTAACAATCTCCTTCTTTCGGTTGCATTGAAGGTTACCCATATCTACAGAATGTCTACCTCGATCCATCTTAAAATGTAGCAAATATTAAATTCTAACAAATATGTTAATGTGTGTATGTACAAATACAACGCAACTAATATAAAAATGTAACTAAAATTTCAATTTATGTAAGAAAATGTGAGTTTACTGTAACTAAAATGTAAGTAATTTGTAACAAATACTTATTTGTGACAAACTAAAATGTGACTTTAAAATAAAAATGCGACTTTTATATTAAAACTTAAGTAATATGATAATTTAACAAAGTAAAATGTGACTTTTATATCAAAATGCATGTGACTAGTGTACAAGTCTATAAAATATTGAATTGTGAGTACAAATAAATCCAACTTCTTTAATATTTTAAGCTAACAAGTATAGTAAGATTAATAACTAAAATGCAACAACTTTAATATATTAAGCTAACAATTTTTATATGATTAATATTAATATGTAATAAATATGGTTAATTAATATGATAATGTAACAAGTATAGTAAAATTAACTAAAATGCAACTACTTTAATATTGTAAGCTAACAATTTTATATGATTAATATTAATATGTACGGAGTAAGAAATATGGTTAATTAATATGATAATGTGATAAGTATAGTAAAATTAACTAAAAATGCAACTACTTTAATAGTTTAATATAACAACTTTAATATGATTAATATTAATATCTAACAAACTAGAATGTAACAAATGTTAAAGGTGAAAAAATTGAGAATGTAACTACTATTAATAGGATAAATTTAATTAATATTAATGAGAAATGTAACTAATAGGATAAATGTATGATTGTTTAATAATTAATGGGAGTGTAAGTGTGTCAGTAACACGATAAATTTAACTAATATTAATGAAAGTGTAACTAATAGGATAAATATATTAATGTATATTAATTAATGGAAGTGTAACTAATAGGATAAATTCAACTAATATTAATGAATATTAGTTAAACTATAAATTATAAATTATAAATTACAAATGTATAAACTATAATAAATATATAAACTATAAATTATACTTTAACTAACTAATATGTAATATATATTTTTTTTAAACCCGGAAGGTCAACCACTAAAATCAGTGGGACAAATGCCGGGTAACATTTACCGAATTTATTAAAAAGCAGATAATAGGTACAAATGGAAGGGGGGACTAGGCCAATACCCTTCCTAAGGAGGCATACCTCCTGCAAATACATGAGCAAAATAAATGGAAATTGGGGGGGACTAGACCTTACCCAATTAAAAATACATGAGCAAAATAAATGAAAATTGGGGGGGACTAGACCTTACCCAATTAAAAATACATGAGAGGAAAAAGAAGAAAAATAAATTGCAAAAAAAACCCAAATTAGGAAACTCTAAAATGTGGACATCCATCCTTATCTAAATAGATAGATCCGCGAACCCGATTAGGCAACTGAGTAGGCTCATAGAATCTATGTTACACCGATACTTCACCCCGGTGCCGTATCCGCGTATCCGATAGGCGTCCTGTACGTATTGGGTCCGTATCCGTAATTTAATAAAAGTATCGGGATTAATTTTAAAAATACCGATACTTCCGATACCCGTATCCGTGAACCGATACGCGTATTTGATCCTGTAACCCTCATTTCATACATGGCATGAAGAAAATTTAGTAGCCGTCCAAGCGACCACAAGATGTGGAACATTGATTAAGATGATTTCGGGAGTATGGAAAATAATGGAATACTATAATTTTTCATTTTATCGTTTTATGAGCTTTAATTGAAACAATATTTAGATGTAAATGTAAATAGAGAACAAAAAATTTTGTTTGAATTTAAATCAAAATAATAGTACTTTAGTTTCTTTAGCCTAATCTTTGAAATTTTATTATAATAGTTAATTTTTTGTACTATTATTATTTTATTTATGAACTCCTGAATTATATATATTTGCAAATTACACCCTATATTTTTATTATTTATAAATATACCCCGTACCCGTATCCTATAATTTTTTAAATTGTCGTATCGTCGTACCCGTATTCGCGTATTGACATATCCGTATACGTGCAACATAGGATAAAATACTGATGGTCTGCTATTTCTAGTACTCAGTTGAGCAAGCTGATGCGCCACTTCATTGACTTGTCTGTAGCAGTGATTGAAAGTTAGCGAGCAACGAGTGGCCCTTTCCAAAAGCGGCCGGATGAGATGAACATAGGTCGCCCCATCAAAGTCTTTTCGAAGGAGGGAGATTGCAGCTTGGGAATCCGATTCAACTTCTACTTTAGTGTAACCAGCTTCAACAATCCAATGCACAACAACAAAGATGGTCATGATCTCAACTTCAACTAACTAATATGTACTCCCTCTGCCCCAGAAAATTCTTCCAAGTTTGACTTGGATCGGAGTTTAAGAAAGTGAGAATAAAGTGGAAATGTGTGGTTGTAGTTGTGTAAGAAAAAGGTAAAATGAATGTGAGCCACACAAATAATCAAAAAGGTGAAGTTGGAAGAATTTTTTGGGACGTCCCAAAAAGGAAAGTTGGAAGAATTTTCTGGGACGGGGGGAGTAATATATTGTTGATAGTATATAATATATAAGTATACTACTATAAGATGAGTAGTACACTTATATTTAATACTTTAATATATATATATATATATGTGTGTGTGTGTGTGTGTAAATATAAGTAGATATTTAGTAGACAATAAATATATAAGTGGATAATAAGTAGATAATACGTATAAAAGTAAATACTAGTATAATATACTACGTATGTATTTATAAGTAGATAATAAGTATATAAGTAGATATACTAATGGTATGACTAATTTAATAGATATAATATACGGATTACAATATATTTATACGTGTAGAGAGAATTGGAGAAAATGATTAGAGAGTATTAGAGTAGGGGTGGACTCGGGCCGGTTCGGGCCCGGCCGGGCCTCGGTTCTGTTTTGTTGGGCCCGAGCCCGAACCGGTAGCCACCGGTTCCGGGCCACCCGCTTTGTATTTTTTTTTTTGGCTTCTCCTATTTAACCCCCAAC